AAAAAAAATTTTCGATTAATATAAAATACATAAGAAAAACCTAATAAATAAATTATTGTTATTAAAAAATCTTTTTTATTTATTTTTTTATTTATTTATTTTAAATCACTATATAAGTGATGAAATTCTCCAAATTCACTTCGTTTATCATTTATTGGATGTTTTCCAAATGATTTTTTATTGATAAAATACTTTAAAACAGTAGCCGAAGCTAAATACTCATCATCTGACGAATCCATATCTTTTCACTTCAATTTCACAAACACGAATGAACAACAAACCCAAATGCATACAAACATACATAAAACACAAATAATAGATAAAATATCAGCGCTGATTCTCGCATCCACTATGCACACTCAAACTTGTTTCTCGCATGAACAAGTTCTCGCAATAAGCGTCAGTCGGCTCGGCTCGGCAACAAGCGGCCACTCTGTTCGCACCCTTAGGGAGGCTGTAGGTGGTTTAGCATTCGCAATTATACATACATATTACATACATACATATGTATGTACATTTGAGTATGTAAATATGTACGCATTTAAGCGTGAATGCATGACTGATTGTCTTTAATTTTATTTAAAGTGAAAGTATGCACGAAGGCTTGTGTGCCTAGCCACCCCAACAATGGTTGCCATGCCTGCATTTGAGCTTTGGTTTGTTATGTTCACATCCGTACATATGTATGTACATACATATGTACATATGTTTGTATAACTAGATGCCTTACAAGCCCGAGCATATGTAAATGATTTGCACATTATTGTGTAAATATGTAAATGTATGAATGTCAATGTTTTAAACCCGATTAACGGTAACATAGTATGTAACTATTTGGAACAACCACAAACGTAAATTCGTATTGGTGGCTTCTCCAAGCGTTAGTGGCGGTACCGTTCTAAACCAGCCCCAAACATACGCTTAGCAAAACACACAAAACCGTACATACTACCTACTTCATATGTATGTATGTAAACACTTCAACAGCCCCAAATAAACGACGACTATTGTGTAGATAAGTATGTNGCAAAACACACAAAACCGTACATACTACCTACTTCATATGTATGTATGTATGTAAACACTTCAACAGCCCCAAATAAACGACGACTATTGTGTAGATAAGTATGCACACAAGTGCTAATGTTATCGTTAAAACGGTTTCGTGAGTTTTTAAGTATGTATACATACATGTGTAGTAGAATTTGTATTTTTGTTGTCTTCTTATTTTGTAGAACACTTTTTAGTAGTATAATGCCATGCGCCGCTACGCGGACACCAAAAAGCCAACGAACCAATCGACTTAAAAACCCGGCAAACGAAGTCTCCTCGCTGCTAAGAATTTTCAATTCATTCAGTTTGAGTATTGCCGCCAATCGGTCTACAGCTGTCCGGAACAAATATAAACAAAAAACTTGTTCAAAAATCGTGTAGGCAATTCGAAATAGAATAGAAATAATCTATAAATCAACATTGGTGACAGGCATATGATTTGCTAAAATCTTCGAGTTTACTCACAGTAATTACTATAAGCATTCACACAGTTGCTAATATCCATTCAGGGTTTCACGTTTTTACGATACTCGAATGCTAATATTTCCGTCGGTTAGAGTAGGCGTATTCGGTTATGTATTTGCGGTTTTAATATTTTTAGTTATATTTACTATCGGAATCGCCGTATTTTTATATCTCTAAATACATACATAGGTCTGGTGTTACTGCCTAATCATTTTGATAAGCGCGCAATTAAGGCGAAGTGTATGTAAATAAAATAAGTAGTTGATAAGCGAAGAGTATAAAAATGACTGCTAAAAATATTCCAAGACGCCAAGCCATCCCTGTGCTTTACACCAGAGGTACTAATTACGATGTCGGTTTTGATATGGTGAGATTATGAAAAGTTTACTATTTAATAAGATAGCAGGATGTGTAAATAAATAAATTATATTGTCCATAAAAATGTTTTTGTTTACTTCTGCTAAAATAGACGATATACACAAACTGATTGGATACATTTTCACACTTTTCGAGTGTTTAAAGTTTCTTTTTGTCTGAAGTTATAGTTTTTGTTTATACTACCAACCGTTTTCAAGTTCAAGTTTTTTTGCAATCGAAATATATATTTTGAAAAAAAAGGTCATACTCCTTACCGTACCGATTGTTATAGCAAAAATTTCTTAGGTAACACTTGTGGAAAGGATTTACTAGCTTTTTCTGTAATTCCACCAAACATTTTAACCAGAGGAGTTTAAATATCGTAAAATTTCGTTCTCAGTTTTTCTCTTTGACGTCAGTATTTTTAACCGACTTCCAAAACAGGAGGAGGTTATCAGTTCGTCGGAATATTATTTTTTTTATGTGTGTTACCGCATAACTTTGGACCACGTCAACCGTCCCATACTAATCTGGTTAAGATCCGATCAGTGGATCATGAGATATATATATAAATATATATTTTTTTATATGAGAGTTGAAGTCGGTTTTTTTTGCTAAAAATTACTTGGGTTTTTAATAAAAAGTACTTTAAAATTTCAGGGATAGGATTAATTCAATATATTATCTTAAAATTCTGTGTTATGTGAGTACAACAATATCTATTTCAAATAAAATAGAAAATTCTCTAGAATTAAAAAAAAACATTTTTTGGCACACAAGGCATTAAAAACGTCTTTTTAATCAATTTTTTGTGCTAAAAAAATAAAGTTAGAAGGACGAAATTCGATTATGTGGTAGTGTGTGTGTATTAGTCCTTAACATATGTGTATATATATAGTCGATAGTTTTTGCAAAACCGCCCATCAACCAATTTCAAAACCGCCTCTGTATCTTGCGGTACTCAGATTTTACAGGAGAGCGAAAAACAATTTTTCTTTGAAGACATTGCTTTGATAGGCAGCATGGGCGTAGCCAGGTAGGGTAACTTTCAAATTTTCCTTATATATATATAAAATAGTACCCTGAAATGCCAGTTTAATCGGCCCACACTAATGTACATATGTACATACCAAATGTATTTAACAAAGTGTGATTGAGTTTGACCATCCTATAAAGTCAAATTGAAAAAATTTTATATTTTTTGTGTGTTTATATTTTTTGACATAATAGTTCCTTAAAAGAGAGCCGACCTGAGTTGTCAACAGTGTTGCCGTTTTAATCCTTTGGTGGCTAGATTTAGCTACCACATACTTTTTTGGCCACATAAATTTAAAATTGCCCCTAGCCCTTTTTTTAGCCCTTTGGAGAATTTATTTCTAACTGGCTTGAAAAAGGTTTATATGCTTAATTTGATCTCTTTTTTTCATTTATGTTAGAGATGCATTTTTAAACTAAGAAAGACTAATATATATACATATATGTATTGTATGTTCCTTACGTTTTTATAGATACATACTGTAAAAGTGTTAGGGCTGTTAACTTATCTATTAACGATTTAACTATAGTTTAAAATAGATAAGTTTACGGCCCTTAATATGCTTAATTTGTTAAATGGCCCATCAAGTCGATTGACCGTAGTACTTAATATGTTCTTGTGGTGTGATTGTACCAGCTGCTGGTGCGTACTTCAAAAACTATTTGAAACATTTATGATTGTACCAGCATGCTGGCTGACGTGAGTGGTGAAATTAGCACAATTTTCTAAGCAAAAAGTATTTTGGGGAATTTCTTGCACTATATGAGTCAAAGCCGTGTTTGTGGAAGATTAAGTTCGCATTATTGCAGTTGTGAATAAAAACAAAAACAATGTTTAACAAAATGGTAGAAAAATTATGAAATTTGGCTTCTAATCATTTCGCTCTTTCCTCGACTCAATCTAAAGAAATAAATATTGTACCAGCATGCTGGTAAGATTATATGCTTCGAGCCTGATGGTATCAATCAACAATTGATGGAGCTGAGCAAGCTGGTGTCGTATATTTCCCCTTTTATACAAAAAGGTTTTTGGTTGGATAAAATATTTGCTTTTTCTCCAGAGTTCATTTTTTTTCTATACCATTACTTATTGAACATGTTTACGTATTTTAGCTACCATTTTTAGCCACAATGACTTTTTTAGCTTTTTTTAGCCCTTTTTTTAAAGGAACTTGGCTACCACTAAATTTGATTCGCGGCAACACTGCTTATGACTCATAAGGGTATACATATTTTGCAACATAGGATTATTAGGCGCATAATTTCCCGTAGAGGGGTTGTCATATGGACGCTGAGATTATCTGACTTGACACCATGGCACTTTTTTATGAGGCCGTATTTATGCGTATAAACCTAAAATTTTGGAGCAATTGAAAACCAACATTTGTCCAGTTATGACCAATGTACATACATTCATATGTCAACACATAGAATTCTACCTCTACAGTTGCCGGGTTACGCCGGAGTATTGATCGCAATTGCAAAGCTGAGGAACTGACAAGGAAAGGAAGGACGATCTTATGGAAAAGGGCATGGTAATTTTAGCAATAGCCACTTTCAAGCAGTTTGGTTGAGACCGAACAATTCTAGTAACCAAGGAACGCCAAAGAATTTTTAGCCTTGTGATACTTTCAGGATTACCTTGTATTTCTATAAAAGGAAAAATTGAAAAATAAGTTACCAAAATACCAAATCTGATAAATAAATGAAAAATTACCAATTTTGATAAAAAAATAACCAAAGCGGCAACGCTGGTCTTCATATATACGGGATGAATTTGTCCGGTGTTGGGTATAACAGCTCAACCTAATATTACCGGCGTACATTTGATAAACCGAACTCACTTTTCGTGCGTAATTAATCAGAGTTGCATTTGTGTCAAGTTTACAGAAGTTTGTTAAACAAAATTTGAATCCATAATCGCGCCAAAATGTCAGTTGAGCATAAATGACAAATCTAAATATCACGCAGGACACGGCGTGCGTGAATATTAGATTGGCCTGTAACTGAGTAGAAATAAAGCATAATGCTGATTACACACGGAGCAACCGTTGAAGTAACGCGTTGAGGCAACCTGATGTTCTTGTTTAATACACACGAGGCAACCATTACGGCAACCCCGGTAGTATGTGCTCAGTTATGAAATGAATATGCGGAAGAAAATTTGTTTTCTACACCTTTTCAGCTCGCTTGTTTCCAATGATCTCAGTTATGTAAGACTTAGACTGGATTTGACTTGAAAATTGTATATCTGGCAAATGTGCAACTCGTTTATGTAGCTACCAGGGTAGCCAACTCATTTTTGAGAATTCCCCGATTTGGACTATAAAATACTCCGATTTTGCCCAAAATTTCGTAAAATTCCCAACCCATAGATATCTCCTAATTTACAACAAAAAAAAAAACGAAAAATTTAATGTATTTTGATATATTGCTGGACTTTAATAATAAACCAAATCAAACTTTTACAAAGTCAGTTATCAAATAAAGAATAAAAAATGTTTATATAATATAACATACAGTTCCCGAAAAATTTTAGTCGCATCAATTATAATTTTTTTTGTGGTTTTTGAGTTATTTTTTTATAAAATTAAGGTTCGTTAGCAAATACCGTATAAATTCAAGTTTCAAACTGTGTGCAATATTTAAAAAACAAAAAAAAATATAAATATTCGAAATCGGTTGACGTGATCCAAAGTTGTGCGGTAACATCCATAAAAAAAAAATATTCCGACGAACTGATAACCTCCTCCTTTTTTGGAAGTCGGTTAAAAGTTCTAAAAATTTCGAGCTTTTTAATTCCATTTTCTAGAAAGATTTTGAGTACGAAATTTTGTAGCCCACTCAACTTGTTTATAATAAAGCGCAAGTTTAATGCGTCTACAAATTTTCGTTTTGGAATTTTTTTGCCGAAGTGTTTGCGGGTTTTTTCCATATAAAAATAAATTATGTTTATTCGTTATATGAAAGCAAATGCGACAAATACAATTCTAACAACTCAACGGTAAGTTTTGGCCATTTGAAACTTTATTATACTAGAATTGAACGAGCTGAAATTCCCCACAAAAATGGTTCATTCCCCTATTCTCCACGCAAACCGAAATTCTCCGCAATTCGGGGAATTCTCTATGAGTTGGCTTCCCTGGTAGCTTCCCAAAAGAACCACTTCACTTAGAAACTTGCAGAACTATAGATTTTTATACACGAGCGCACTTGTGCACAAGGGTATAATAACTTTATTCACATAACGGTTGTTTGTAACAGCCAAAACGAATCGAGATAGATATAGACAAATGTGTACACAAATGATCCGTCCGCCCGCCCATCCGTGTACACCATAACTCGAGCAAAAATTGAGATATATCAACGAAATTTTGCACGCACATTGCCCTTTATCCAAGGTAGGTTGCAATTGAAAATGGGCGAAATCGGCATAACCAGTGTAAAAATAGGAAAGCAACAATTTCAGTTTTCACTTTCACACAGATAACATGGCCATTTGTCCTATGTAATGTGCACCGAGAAATTAAAAAACTCTCAACTGGTTGTTGTATTGTTTAAATTTTTATATTTTGTAAAACAAGATATTTACTATCTCAACTTAATATTTACATATTAGTGCTGTCAAACTATCGATAGTCGTGAGCATCGATAATAGTAGTTTAAACCATCGATATATCGTCGATAGTATCGCAATCCACACTGATGTATCTAAGCCTGTACTGGCCGTACTATTTTTAACATATAATTCATAGAATCAAGAACAAGAAATTTAGTACACTTTATATTCATATTAAGAACTCAAAACGCGCTTTAAATAAGTAAACAGAGTCAATATTTCTTTCTTTAAAGATCATTCCGACGGCCCAATAAGTTTTGCTATAAATAGAATCATATCACCGTTTTTTAGCTTGAGGGCACATCTTCTCTCGGAAATAATGAAGGCAGCCTAGTTAAATATTCGTTCCGATTCAG